CGAAGTCTGTTCATCATTATCTTTGTGTATATCTGATTAATAATTGGCAACAGGCTGACTGGATTTTAGTTCTCCACGTCCTCTCTTTTTGCTGTTTTATGCTGTAGAATCGCCAATGCGATAGTCCAATAGTCTGGAAATATCAGTTCCTTCAAAATAGCTGTTCATATCTTGGTAGATTATTCACCTCCTGATTCTACAAGACCGACTGCAATGCCATCTTCGCCAGTAGCCTTTTCCCGCTTCCACTCTTTTATTGAATGTCGCGCTTCTGGCAAGATATCTGGACCAGTAGACTAGTGGTGTCGTGTACTTTGTATTGACAAAGAGCTGTAATAGTACAGAGAATATAAATTCTATGTTAAATGGCAAATTTTATTCGCTTTACTTAGACATGATAATACTACGTTTTTATATCAAATCAATTCATCCTCCTAAGCTGTACTACGTACAGATTGAATGATTGACTCTCACGTTCAAACAAAATATTGCACTGTATGCTATGAAGTCGCCAATATTCGCTGCTGTTTATATCGAGCTTTATGTACTGTTAAAGTTGTCGTTTTAATGTTAACGTTGAGTATTGATAATGGTCTTTCGTAGGCGAACGTTTAAATTCATAATTATTTAATCAGTTTGATTTTTTCCTTGCCTCTGCAGTTTCAAGAAAGCTGAACATAGTGTTAACCTGAACAATCTTACGAACGGAGTGAAGGGCATTAAAAGAGCTGGAATGCCGTTAAGGCATCGAATGAAAAAATTAGAGCCTGAGTAAAGTTTCAGTTTGTTCTGGTCAAGTGTCCTTAAATCTCTCTAGTCTTCGGTTATGTCAGCAAAAGCGATAAACAGAATTCATTATTACGTAAATCAAAACGAAAAGTCTCGATATAATGACATTTGTAATATTAACATTGAATTTGTTAGCAGTAAGGATAACGCTTTTTCGGTCACTGAGTTGAAACGGAATAAAGCCTAATGCTATGCCAGAGTAGCTGGCACGCCCTTGATACGTGGTTGCCGTGCACGTAGGTTAGTAACGTAAGCTTTTTCCTGATTCAGAGAAAGTTAACGATGATAATTGAACCAGCCCCCATAAGTAATGTGCTCCTTTGAACATGAAGGCATGGTGCTGGCTGGTATCTGATAGCTTATATACCTTTTCCTAGTAATATGGGAACACCTGTGAATAATGATCTCTGTAATATTAGGCTTCTAGGTACTGTACATGGCTTCAGTGTTAACTAACTCTTTCAGGAATCTGATGCCAGTGGCGTAACTGCCGGAGTTGAAGAGGTGACCAGCTTAATCGTATATTCTTTCTTCTCATCGTTCACCCTTTCGAATACTGGCCGTTTTGGTTGTTAACCATTTTGATAGGAAGTTTCTTGAGTAACCCAGACATCAAAAACGATATCGGCTGTTTGTAACCGTTGGTATGTCGGTTTATTGCACGCGTTCATGATTGTGCGCCATATGTTGACCCTTTTCATTGAGCTTACGCTGCTAATATTCTTTTCCATACCATCAACTAAGCGTGCCTTCTTTTTTAAGCCTATATCTACAATGTAGTAACAATTATAGTGCGTTGGCTTCGGTTTCCCTCCAGAAAAGTAATACTCATTTTTCTATCTTAGGAAGAAGAACGGCAAGTGACCCGACCGAAACCCGAACCCGGGGCTCTCGGTTCTGAGTCCGACGTTCGCCGACGAGTAACGAGTAACGAGCAAAACAAATATGCAGCTTGCCATTTCCATCGTCTAATGAATTTTATAGCGGTGCGTTTGCTCATTGCTTGTTCGAACAAATGATCAGTATTTTTAGCAACGGTCTGAACAGTCGGAATCGCGATGGCGACAGTTTCAAAATACCGCGTTTACAGCGTCAAAGGATTCAGTAATAAATATTATCGACTCTTGATTGCATTTGTTAGCATTTGATTTTTTCTATATGAATGGAGCAAAATATTTCATTCGCTCTTGCTTCCTAATTGTATTATCACCCTTCAGCATCACATACGTGTTCCTGCAGTGAATGCATTATGTGCATAAAGCCACATAATAATGGAATTAAGGACATGTAAAAGTGTGATGCAGCTCACTGGCTTGCAGTTGCGGAAGACTCGGCTTCCTCGCTTAAGGTTTTCTGAGTTTTCTTATAGATGAATATGCTCATTAATGAAACTGACCGGTACTTTTGTCTGGAATGGAAATGTCGATAGATTCTAGGATTCTCTTCAGGTGTACATACAGCGGCAAGAAACAGCGTAAGATGAGAAGTCACCTGAATACACGTATTGGAGAAATACGGTGTTTCGAAGAGGCTTGAGGTTGAATCGCCACGTTCAAGTCGTAGAAAGCGATCAGTTAAGGCGTTGCGATCACTGGCATGTCCAGTTGTGCATGTAATGTTCCGAGCTCCAAAGTTGCAAAAACATTTTCTAGCCATTCGAATTCAATTTAATAATTTTGGTTTTAATTTTGATGTCAACCCTCCTTTCTCAGAAGCATTGCATCATTAACGAGAGCTTTATGATTGGTTTACTGCTGTGCAATTTATACGCGATTAACCCTTAGCAGTTTGGAACCTGTATCGTTTACGTGTTAAAGATTATGTTTGAGAAGTTGTATTGACATCAGCGAAACTAAACTTTTCCATAGTTTTCGTGTCACCAAAAGTTTACATGATGACTGTCGAAGTTATGCAGTAGCAGTGGTCAGATGGTTCGTCACTGTGATCAGGCTGAATCTTTGGAGACTAATTTGAGTAGTTTCGATCAGTTTTTTCTAGATTTTTAACCCTTTTTCTCTGCAACGATCATTTTAGAGTTCCTACAAACAGTCTCCTCTTTAGCACTACCTAATTTTCACCTGAGCTTCACCTCGCCATTCACTGAGCCCTTGTGTGTACAGCATTTTTGCGTTACGGTCGTGATTTTTTTAAATTAGATAGCACGTGTAATCGGAGTATCTCTAAATAACCATTTTGATAAGGCTTTGGTTTTTTGCAGTTTTAATGTTTCCCTTTCAGTCATTCTCATACGGCAGTCACAGAATCATCGAGATCATGGTTCAGACCGGGTTCATATTGTCAGGCGGGAATTCGTTTATGTGATTTCTAGCTGATTATCTGTGACGAATCATTGTGGCACCTTTGATGTTTTCTTTGAATGTTTAATTCCAAAATTTGATTACGCTGTTTATTTTGCAGGAAACTGTCTGCTAATGAAGGCTTTGTTTTGTCTGAACGTTCTGACTTCAGTTGTATTGATATTTTATCCTAAATTTCCCTCATTCTTCGTCACTACGGTAGCGGATCTAGTTAAGCTGCGGAAGGTACTTTACATGCTGTCATGATTTCGATTTAGGAGTAATGGCTCAAGCTACGTTTAGATATGGGCATTTCTTGCATCGAAGATTATTTTCTTAACTGCCCGACACATCATTACCGGGTTATTATTGATCTACTGGTTGAAAAACGTGGAGCGTGTCTTTGGCACTCTGAAATTTCTCGTAAGCCCTTTGATACTGTTTATCCAGTCTAACAGTTCCTTGCTTCAGAATTTTTTGGTTAGCACAACGGCTTTGTCAGTTGTATTCGAACTGTTCTTTTACTACGTGTTTCAATCGTTCGGCTTTTTGTACCTGGCTTGTGGACCGTACGATTCTAGCCAGTGTTCTTCTGGTCTGCATATTTTCACTTAGCGACTTTTAGCTACACGTTGCTTGCTACCATCTACGCCCAGTACTTATGCGATATACCCAGTGTGTCAGAGTTCATCGTATTTGGCATCTCTCTGTCGATCAGCTTTATTCCCGCGTTATTGTTTTCATCGGTATAACATCTTTTTTTGTATGCGATATTTGCTTTTAATTTTTCCAAAAGCTGATTAGGTTTGGACTCACAGATTGAAAATTCGAATTTAGAATTTAGTCCCTACTTCGCCGTTGCCGGTCCCACGGCCAGGTGAAAAGGAGGACGGTTGGGGACCGTGGTGAGGTCTCGTTAAACTTACCTACTTACCCCTCATAAAATTACCACTAGCTAACGTTATACCAACTCGGTCGTCTCCTAGGTTACGAAGCGCCGCGCAAGCTGTTGGGGAGCTGAAGAAGGCTACGAAAATTCGGCGATCATAACTTGCTT